TCGTAAACTATGGTGGGTGTGTTGGCTATGAGATTCGATGCCTTGCACCCCTCCCTGGGGATCCCTTTTATACCGTGGATCATCTTGATCTCCAAGTCAAACTCGTTGACATCAGATCTTGTACGATATAACAGAAACTCTGTCCCCTCCGAGCTGGACTTTGGAAATTGCTTGACTCGTAGGGATATTTTCTATAATTTGTAACAGATTCCTACAACGTATACGGGAACAATCCGTGTACGTGAAGGTATACTATATCCGCATATATTTCATAAGTCGTAGGATAGGAGGTATGCCTTATCCGTAACCATGACAATGTCCTTTAGCAGCCTTCACTTGGTGTGTAGTAAGATATACCTTAGGTTTAAAAATAGCTCTACCAAAATTAGAGAGAGCTTGGGCTTGATGAAAGGGAAAAATTGATTAGGGTTTGGGTGATGCTTATTGCTAGTGTTTGCTGGGTGTTATGGTTAACTAGGAATGACTGGGTTTTTTCTGATGTTTGGCCAAATTCTGTTTCCAAATTTCTTACAGAGCTCTGCCCTTTGTTCAGAGGTGGAGCATCATACTAAGCGAAGAAAATCAAGTCACTATGCGAAGATGGTGTAAGTTGCTGATGGAGAAAATGAACCAGCTGAAGCCGTGCTATCTCTGGTTTCTCTGCTTTTACCTGTTGTGTCCTTTGTAGGATGAGACTTTGCTGGCATTTATGTGTTCTATAGAAAGTAGTGTTTCCTCTTTTTTTTTCTATTTTGTATAAGACTCTGTATGCTTTTGGGCTTTCTTACAATGCGGGTGAATGCATTTTGATCTGATTTCAACAAAAATAATGCTAGATTGGAATGCTTGGTGCTGATCTCATTGGACCCCTGATCTTAGTGGTGCTGGTTCTATCCAACCACCGAGCTGCGTTGTTGTCAGCTCTTCTCCCTCTCAAGCGCATGTCTTGCCATGCGGTGTCGCTGTTGATTCCCTTTTTAAACAGCTACCTCTGGAGATAGCTGCAGCTCTAATAGGAGATTTAAAACTTTACATGCAGTACACTGTGTAATCAAAGCAACATAAGAAATAGGAAGAAGAACAAAACAAATATAGCAATTATGGCTTCAATTCCACATTTAAATCAAGATGATCATGTGTTAAGCTAATGAATTAGTAGATCCTAAGATAAATGATCTAACATTATGGTTTCAGAGCAAATATGCTGGGCCACATGTTCCCACCATCCCATTGTCAGAGCCAATCATGCTTTTTTTTTAATCCTCTGTTTAAGTTATTTGATTTTTAATATAATTAGTGAACTCACGATGTTGGAATTAATAGATGGTCCTTAGCCCATACGAAGATTATTTTTTTGGAAAATCACAAAAGTCCATCTTATAGGATGGTATGCATGGGGAGTTTAGTATCACCTTGCAAATTCTAGAAGAGGGAGATACCTCCTTATAAGGGGGATGCTCTCCTAGCCACTTGAGGCATATGAGGTGGAGAGAACGAAAGGAACACGCACGCTTGCTCGCCTCGCCTCGCCAAGCGAGTGCACGACGTGCGTGTAGAATGGTCCGTCAAAATTGGTTCCTCACCCTTACGCAAATGTGGTCTCCTTTGCAGTTTTATTTTGTTGCAGGAAATTCGGTTTTGTTTCCTTCTGCAGTTTTATTTTGCTACAGGAAATTCTGTTTTCTTTCTGGGAAACATGCCAAATAATCTGGTGCGTGAAAACAGCATAAAATCTGGATAAGTTACGCGCGACTTATCCAGTTCGGTTGCGCGTAGTGGAGATCGTGTCGGCGCCCCTGATCAAGTGTCCTGATATCTCTATATAAATCGAGTAACCGCCTCCACGCAACACACGCGAAATCAATATAGGGTTGCCTTCTCCTCTGTATTATGCTGTTGCTCATAGTCTACTCCATCCCGCTCGCCAGCGTGCATCGGTGATCGGGAGAATAGGTCTCTGGAACCTTCGGCTTCGACGTCCTGCACCGGGAGAAGGCGGCAATAAGGATTTTGGGAAGCGCTTTACGCGATTGCTTCCTATTCGTCCACAATGGCTCGTCTTCCTCTTCGCTCGCGTGATGTGCGTTGTCGTCAACGCATGGTACCATGAGTCCTTCCTGCTGAGAAGCTAGTTTTCCAAAACCTTCGGTATGCATTCAACATGTTTCACATATTCGATCTGTGCATGGTTTACTCTCTAGTTTACATGCGTAGATCATATGATACGATTACGCTAGTTTACATCTGCGATGTCATGATTTGTTTATGAAATAAATTAAATCACTAGTTTACATCTGCAATGTCATGATTTATTTATGGAATAAATTAAATCATTATGTGCTTATATATTCAACGCATGAATCATGCAAATTCTGAAGGTAAACAGGACGATAGCTCAAGGTATCAACTAAAAAAATAATTGGCAAGTACAGATGGAACCACACAATATATTCTTAGCTGCAAGTAGCGTCTGCACTGAAGGAAGTTCTCCGTTAGCTTATAGGCTTACAACACAAACAATGCACACAAATCGTATCGGGGACTAATCAGCAACTATCTCAGCATGATTAACACTTTTGAATAAAAAGGAAACAGACAACACTATTATATAAGCAGATGGAGAACGAGTTAGCTAGCTAAATAAGTATGATTTGATCCTGTCATAAGTATGATTTGATCCTGTCGAGCAACAAGTACGATTTCCTAAACTCTGTGTGGCAGCCGGAAAAGGTTTAGTGCACAGTATGTTGTTAGCTGCAAGTTCGACTTTTCTGAGTGAGCAAACCAAGTAGCACTGGGTAGCAGTAGCACACTCGTTACAACAAAGTGACAGCCAAGAGTGGAAAATCATAAAGAGTGGGGGGATACTGGATGGATGAGCTAAGCTCCGGGCTCCGGCAATAAAGAACGGTGGAAGCCATTCCGGCTCCGCCATTCACCTCACGGTGGGCCAACCAGGCCCCGCCGGCCAACCAACCACCCAAACAACACCACCGGCGGCGACATCGTTGAAGGCAAAAGCTTTCGCAACAATGGGAAATAGCACCACGGGCGCCGCCGGCAGCAGTCAACAGCGGGTGCCTTCCCTCGGCAATCATCTAAGTTTGTCCCCACCATTACTCCGCATTGAATGCAAGTTGTCGCCGTTTTTCTTTCCATTACTTCCTTTTCTTCTCTTTTTCTTCTTTTTCTTCGTCTCTTTTCTTCCCGTCGTCCGCTAGGGTTTCGGTCTGTCTAAGTCGTTAGGTCTCCCCTTCCCTATTCTTCTCCTTCTCTTCCCCAGCTCTCTCCGCATCTCCCCTTCCCCCTAGCTCTTCCTCTTCGTTAGTTCGCCTCCAATCCTCTTATTGTTCGCTGTTCCAGGAACAGCACCGTCCTTGGTTCAAAAATGAACGGGTCTCGCGGCACCTCCTTTGAATCTGCCATGCTTTCCAAATACTTTTCTGGCACGTGTGACCCCATCATCCCCTCCCTGCGTTCGCCGATTCGGTTGCTGGCGATCGTTAGGACATCGGGTGTTATCCTTTCGCTTGAAAGAGTCACCTTCCTCCTCTCCGGCGAGTTTGGTGCCAACCCTAACGCTTTCCAGGTTCAACAAACCAGAGCGGGAAACTTTCTCTTCATAGTAGCCTCATTAGAAATTGTGTCTGAAGTTCTGCTGCACGGCAGTCTATCTTTCGAATGCATTTTGATCACTTTCCAGCCCTAGGACAGACAGAGCTTTTCAGCTCGATGTTCGCCACGCTTGCATAGTGACTCGTGCACCTCCGAGCAGAAGATTCTCTCGAAGTGTCCTTCGAAGCTAATGATGGCTCACGAGAAGCTAAGCAAGGTTAGCATGCAATCCAGCACTAATGGGCAAGATAAATCCACCCTAGATTCGCAGCCAATAGGATCCCTTCAACAGCACCATAACTCCTATAAAGAAGCTTTCCTATCCACCTCTTCCACCATAACTACAACAAACCACAAACACTGTCACCTAGTTTACCCCGGCAAGCCAAAAAATCTTGAAAAACACTTCTTCAGATGCCTTTCCTTTTCCCATCGCAAAGTCTCCTATAGGGATCCTATCATCTGCTAGTTATGCAGGTCGATGGGCCAATTTCGCTCCCTTTGTCCTCTCTGCTCGATTTCAAATACTCTTCGACGCCCAGCGCTGTCTCATCCCCTCCCCGCCAAAACTCGCATCATGGAGCCGGCAATCCATGGCCGGCAATCCTTGATGTCACTGCCATTACCATTGAACCGCCTTTGGTCTCCCTCGTACCATGGCTCAGAAGGGTGTTCCACCATCACCTGGGCGGAGCTAGGGTCCGCTTTGCAGCAGGAGGGGTGGGGCACATACTCGCCATCTTCTTGCACCAAGAGGACCAAGCTAGGGATTTCCGCCTGAGCCCCATTGTGGAGGAAGGGCGGGAGATCACCTTTTTCCCCACAACCGTGGAGAGAACGCTTTCACCTTCTTCTACCGCTACATCGTCTGCTCACCTTGGAGAAGTTTCGTTTGGAATTTTGGCACATGCGGGGTGTAGTCGTCCTGCATTTTGGGTTTTGCAAACCTCGTGAATGTAGACCACGAGTGCTTACACGGTCACGAGTTCGCAGCCATCTTCGCCATGATCAAGGTGGAGGCCCTCAAGCATATCCCACATCATTTGGCCTACCACAAGGTGAATGAGACAGGCATCTTCACCGACATCTTCATCAATGAGGTCTGGGATAACAGTGATGCCCCGCCGCCGCCACCTCCACCACCCTCTCATCGGGCTCACAGCAGGTCCAACAGGGCTCCACGGGCACCCGCGGATGACATCGGTGACCAGACAAGGACTGCAGGGCAAGTTCCTGCTCTTGAAAGCAACTTCTCCCAAGGTTCCTCGTCCAAAACCATATCATGCTATATTGGAGTCTTCGGCAACATGGCTCTCCGAGCCCAGCACGCGGTTGCTCGAAATGCATATCCTAATCTAGGTGATCTCCTTGCCTTTTTCACCTTGTTGCCTAAATTAGCTCTCCCCGCTCCGCCTGTTGCAACTGCACATGCCTCTATCATTTTTGAGCAAGCTGCGTACAAGGTTACAGTCAGACTGAGTCTTGCTATCCACTTCTGGATTTCTGTCAACCAAATCAATAGCCTAGATGAACACTGGCGTTCTTGCTAGAACCTCTTCCTGCGCCTTGCTTTTTAGCCCAATGCCTTTAGATGGCCCAACTCTAGGACTCCTCCCATCCATTGATTGCCGCTACTCCACTAAAGCATCCATCCCGGTCAGCCCGATTGCCGTTGATGTCACACCACTCGCTCTTGCCCCGCTAACAAGCCAGCCAGCCATCAAACAAGTTTTCCTCGCTCAAACCATCTACCTCCTCCAGCTCGAACCCCTCCTGTCCTTCCTCCCTTCCCCCCCATCTATCTGCACCATGCCGCCTACTCTCCCAATCACAGAATATCCCCGCTTTGATGTCTTTGGCATGAGTCAATCGATGGCTACTTCACCTCATGTTGAAGGCGCCTACTCCCTGATTCGGCATCCACTAGCTGAGAGGGTGGCATCGTATGATCGGAAGGCCAAAGAAGCGCATGACGTACAGAAGGAGCTCGATGATGCCCTGAACAAGCCAAATGACCCACGCATTGACCAGCTGCTGCCGCTGGTGGGAACGTTACCAAACCTCAACATCACGGTATACGTCCGCCGCAACGCAAGGATCCGCGACACCTACAATGGTAAGTGGATAAATCCTGTTGCAAGAGCCAGCGATCGGGTGGTAGCTCAAAACAAAACAGGTTCGTGCAGCAACAACGGCAGTAAGTCCAGGCCAAAGAAGAAGCTGAAAAAACTGGAAGAAATTGTGGAGATGCCTATCCTGGCAACGCCCCAGCCAACCCCGAAGAAGAAGATCAAAGAATTGGCCAACTTCTGCGGCTTAGACGAAAAAAAGTTGGTTCTTGAAGCTGAGAAGGAATTTAGTAGGAAGAAGGAGCAAACTGACCCAAATGCATGAGCAATGCCCTCTCAATCGCTTCTTGCCGATTGGCCCGGTGGACAGTAGCTTCGGGTGCTTTCAGCTATCCTAGGCCTGGCCCATTGTATCATTTCTTTTATGCTGTGTCCTCTTATCGTCGCCCGGCCTCTTCAAGGCCTGGCTAGTAGTCTCCTTTATTTATGTGTCTCTTGTCTCCTAAGTCGCGTCGTTGTTATCTCCTTTTACCTTTGCAATGTAAGCCTGTTTGGGCTTCCCAATGTTCTTCTCTTTGTCCTCCCATCTTCTTTTTTCTTCTCCATTTCATTTCAAGTGGCTTTTCCTGTCTCCTCTCGTCTGCTACTTTTGTCCTCCTTCTCAGTTTGTTTTTCTTTGCGACAACTTGTTTTTCTTTTCGGTCTGGAAAGGGATTGTCAAAACAAGATTTCGGCAATACTAAAAGGGGGTGGCTATCAAGCTAGAAAAGTGGATGGGTTTACACACAAGGAATTTTATACAGGTTCAGGCCTTCTTAACCAAGAAGTAATACCCTACTCCTGTCCGGGGATTGATCCGCCGAGTATATTATTGATCGTATGATCTGGAAGAAAATCGTGCCCCTAGAGGCACCCGGACCCCTCCTTATATAGGGGAAGGGGTCCGTATTACAAAGCACAGTCCATATCCCTAACAGAATAGGTAGTTACAGATAAGATACAATTGTAACCGACTAGGATCCCGGGTATTTTCTTGACGCACAAGTTTGGAATTCAACCCGAGTCGTTTTAAAGATATTCTATCTATACATGGCACCCCATACCCAGTTGGACTATACATGCCGTGTAGTTATGGGGTATCCATAATCTCCACAGTAACCCCTGAGACCTTTACAGAGACCTTTACAGTCGACGAAATAGTCTTCTCTCGTAATCCAAAACGATAATCCGAGTACTTCGACTCCTTCTGCCTTGATCTCCCGAGCACCAAAATCAAAGACTGTGAAGGGCTGAAAATAAAAAATCGGGTGCATTGACTAGATGCACCTAATTAGTGTAGCCCCCGACTATGTGATTAGTTAAAAACTAAACATATAGTCAAGTTGCAAATAACATCCAACCGAGTGGTTTTACAACCGAATTATTCAAAACATCATACAGCTAAGCATAGGCGATGTTTAATAAAACATCCAGCCGACTGCTTTAACTTTAATATACCAAAAATGGAGTTATAAGGAGGCCCGAGTAAAAAATACTCTAAAGGTCCATAAATCAACACATATGACAAGAATCCGAGTAAAAACTCTCAAAAAGATCCATCAAATATGGTATAAATCATGACAATTGAAGAGTCTAAATAGCCTAAGCTATAACTCATGCCATAATCAAAATAAGCATATAACATGCCGAGAGAATGACTGTTCAAAAACCAGTCATCTTAATAAAACCCTAACAGCTTTTTGCATCCTAAAAAAGCTTGCAAAATTAGTATAACACTTTTCCGTTGGGCACCTTTTTATTTACATCGTAGTAATTCCAAAGAATTATCTAACTACGTCAAAGAGGATTTTAGTAGCATTGGGCCACACTGGTGCGAGCAAGTATTGCCAAAGCAAAATGCCTAAGTCCCTAAGGATCACAACTTAGCCACGCTGATAGAAAAATTGGGCTGAAGTACTGTTTTAGGCCCAGGCCCATTAGTGCTTCCGATACCCTAATAACACCAAAGGCCAAACGTCGCTTCGTCTTCCCCGCCGAAACTCTCGCCACTTTCCCCATTCTCTGCTACAGTGCGAAACCACGCCGGTGAAGCTAGGGTTCACCGATTCGCTCCAATCCGTCCTCCAAAACTCCAAAAAAATTCCCATGCAACCACCACATCAATCTCCCATCCATTCCCAACCACATTCCGGACCAAATCATACCATCTAGTTCACATCCATGGTGGAAGAGAGACAAAGCTTTGAAAGCCAGTGGGCACCCTCCGACGTAAAAGAGGGGAACTTGAAGGAGATGGTGGCGCACGGCGTTCTTCCGGCAAAAGAAATCATCAGGTGGCGTCCAGCGTGCGGTGAAATGTTTCCGACCCCCGACACACACGAGGTGGTGGTATTCTCCTATTTCTTTTATAGCGGGTTTTCTCTTCCGACCTCAAGTTTCTTCCGGGGAATTTTGGATTTCTATGGGTTCAGCTTGCATCACCTAAACCCTAATTCCATAGTCCACATCGCCAATTTCATCCATGCTTGCGAAGCCTTTCTGGGGGTTAGGCTGCATTTCGCTCTATTCCGCCACATCTTCTTCCTTAAGCCCCAGCCAAACAAAAACAAACCATGCGTAGTTGGGGGAGCCGGATTTCAACTGAGGGGAACCTTGAGCCAAAAATACTTCTCCATGCCATTCAAGACCTCGAACAAAGGTTGGCACGCGAACTGATTTTATGTGCAAAACCCCGAGCCAGCGCTTCCCGGATACTCTTGTCTTCCCCTAGTATATCGCGATACCTGGAACTCACTGCCTATGGGAGAAGAGGTCGCCCAAGCACTCGACTTGTTGGATCGCATGCTGAAGCTGAAAGAACAGGGTCTGCAGGGGGAGCAAATCACCCGGCACTTCATCAAGAGCCGGCTGGCACCAATCAAGGAAAGATCTAGGACAGCCTTTGAGTTTGACGGCAAGCATGACCCCAACCGAGAGGACCCAGAGTCTCTTGAGTTCAAAATTATGCAGGAGAGAATGTACAAAATCTTCTCAAATGCCATCGTTGTCAGCTATTCACACTTATTACCAGTTGTGCCATAAAATGCCTTCAACCCTCCTCCACCGGTATGTATTATACAACTCAGCTTTTCTCAAAGCATGCTTTTATCTTCTGTAAAGTCGACTGAAAACTTGGAATATCATGCACAGGAATTTACTTTGATGAAGTCCGATCCTCCAATCGCTCAACGGCTCTCACCTCGCCGGCACACTGGCCAAACCAGTGGAGGGCTGAAGATTTAGTCGGACGTCCAACCCAACGCTTCAAGATCAACTAACCAGTCAGATTCTCGTAAGAGAAAGTTGATTTCAAGTGACGACGAAGGTGATGATGCGGGAAAGACGGGCAACAAAGGGGTGACTGGAAAACAGCCAAAGCAAACCAATCTGAAGAAGAAAACATCAAGTCGTCCCATGCCAAAAATCAGGAAGTCGTCTAGAAAACAGCCAAAGCAAACCAATCTGAAGAAGAAAACATCAAGTCGTCCCATGCCAAAAATCAGGAAGTCGTCTAGAAAACAGCCAAAGCAAACCAATCTGAAGAAGAAAACATCAAGTCGTCCCATGCCAAAAATCAGGATACACTTGTCTTCCCCTAGTATATCGCGATACCTGGAACTCACTGCCTATGGGAGAAGAGATCGCCCAAGCGCTCGACTTCTTGGATCGGATGCTGAAGCTGAAAGAACAGGGTCTGCAGGGGGAGCAAATCACCCGGCACTTCATCAAGAGCCGGCTGGCACCAATCAAGGAAAGATCCAGGACAGCCTTTGAGTTTGATGGCAAGCATGACCCCAACCGAGAGGACCCAGAGTCTCTTGAGTTCAAAATTATGCAGGAGAGAATGTACAAAATCTTCTCAAATGCCATCGTGGTCAGCTATTCACACTTATTACCAGTTGTGCCATACAATGCCTTCAACCCTCCTCCACAGGTATGTATTATACAACTCAGCTTTTCTCAAAGCATGCTTTTATCTTCTGTAAAGTCAACTGAAAACTTGGAATATCATGCACAGGAATTTACTTTGATGAAGTCCGATCCTCCAATCGCTCAACGGCTCTCACCTCGCCGGCACACTGGCCAAACCAGTGGAGGGCTGAAGATTTAGTCGGACGTCCAACCCAACGCTTCAAGATCAACTAACCAGTCAGATTCTCGTAAGAGAAAGTTGATTTCAAGTGACGACGAAGGTGATGATGCGGGAAAGACGGGCAACAAAGGGGTGACTGGAAAACAGCCAAAGCAAACCAATATGAAGAAGAAAACATCAAGTCGTCCCATGCCAAAAATCAGGAAGTCGTCCAGGTATGTGTCCTCTGGCAATTTCCTCTGTTTTGCTAGTCACTCACTATTGAAACAGAACTGATAGCATGTCTTCAAAAATGTAGAAAACCATCTAACATAGATCCCTCTGGAAAAGACCCCACGTCGACTAGCACAGAGACTGGTCCTTCAGTAGAAACTAGGCCGACTACCGAAGACCGCCCGGGTAATAATCAACCGGCAACCGGCAATGTAGATACCAGCAACGAGCCCCCGACTGGAAACCAGTTAGCCAAAGCAGAAGCCAGTGCTGATCAGGAGCCCCCGACTAGAAACCAGTCGGGTACAGAACAGAATAGAGATATCCCAGAAGTGGAAGCTCAAGCCAACAGCCCTCCCAAAACGGACTATGGTGCTGGCCTTTAAACTAATTCTCCTGCCAAGGTACAAGGACCTGCTCGTCCCCGACCGGAAATTATCACAGGTAAATAAGTCCTCCAAATTTGCTTTGATCCGACAACCTTTATTCAACTACTTCACCATTATTCATGAATATATAAGGGCCAACGATTGGTGATGAAGAAGAGGTCCTCCGGATACGATCGGCTGAAGATTCTCGCCCACCAATATTAGTCAAGTGGTGGGACGATGAAATGCGGCCACAAGGAATTGTAATAAATAAGCAGAAAGAAGACGAGGAAGTATGCCAGCTGAAAAAGACACTCGGCCAAGCTACTCGTCTTGTAAATGTAAGTCTACGTTTACACAGCCTCAATCATCTTGTCAGCCACTTTACTTGAACAAAGATAAATTTGTGGTGCAGAGAATCCATCTTAGAAATGAGGCGAAGACTGCAACCCTCGAAAAGTTAGTTCCCCACCTTGGAACCCTTGAAGCCACCACAGACCAGCTTCGTGAGGCCAAGGAACTTGCTAGGAAGACCGAGCATGATCTGAGAGACCGGATCGCCGAGCTCCAAGACTCCAACTTCGACCTGAGTGGTTCATCAAAAGGTGACTCTCAACCTTGTCTGACTCGTTTCCTGCTGCTATCCATGTGCAACTAACCAACAAAATGCAATACAGTGCAAACGACCAAGATATCCGATCAGGAAAAGCGGATCAAGGCGCTGGAAAAGGATAAGGGCGAACTGACAAAGCAGAGGGACTCGGCCCTAAAAGATGTCGAAGGTACTTGCAGCTGGAACTTAAAAAAATCACTCTTATCTCCATGCTCACTTGCTGATGCAAATTCACTTGTGC